TGTCGTGAATTTGAAATGATTCTTAGAGAAATTTGGAATTGTGTTGATTATTTTATTTTTATGCCCCCGTATCGAAGATTCGGGGGTATATAGTTATTGTCCTGTCCGTGTGTCTGTTTGTCCGCAAAAACTTTAACATTGCTCTTAATTTTTAATTGGTTGGAGCTATGGCTTTCATATTTCACAAGTGTATTCATTGTGACAAGATCCTTTCTTTGGGTACCATCATATTTGACCTTGACCTTGTTTTGTAAAATTTTACCCAACTTAAACCTTGGACATTACTTTTGAATAGTTGGTGCTAGGTCTTTCATACTTTACATGTCATCCTTGTGACAAGACCTTACTTTGGATACCAACAACTTTGACCCTTTGACCTTAGAATTTGACCTACTTTTGAAAGACTTTAACCTTGGCCATAACTTTTGAACGGTTGGTGCTAGGGCTTTCATATTTCACATGTGTATTTCTTGTGAGAAGGCCTTTACTTGGGCACCATTAATCTTGACCATTTGAACCTGGCCTTGATGTTTGACTTACTTTTGAAAAAAACTTTAACCTTTTCCATATCTATTCAATGGATGCTGCTAGGGTTTTCATATTTCACAGGCATATTCCTCGAGACAAACCTTACTTTGGGTACCAACATATTTGATTTGCATTTGAGAAAGATTAACCTTTGATATGAGTTGCCATATGGCGGCATCAGTGTTTCACAAACACATCTTGTTTTTTTGTGCTAAATTGCATGGACCATGAGATCCATGCAGAAAATATATAAACAATTTTAAACCGGATGCTATGGGGAAAAGTAACCTTACCCATGCACCAGAACGCTAGACAGGTCGCTGTTAGGACAATGCATTCTATGAAGCCGGAACTCACCCTCCATTCAGACAACTCGCCATATTCACAATGACAACTCACCTTAGCTTTTTACGTGATCAAAGACAAATTAATCTGAATGAAAACGACAATTCTGCATACCGTAGCCATAGGTATATATTTATTGGCTTATTCAAGCTCTATATATTCACTCATTTTTTATAGATAAAAATACAGTCAAGTATTTCTAATATAGTGATGTTCAGAGCATAGTAGAAATAATTATACCCACTAAATAAGATGGAGAATATCTGTGGTACAAGCAACTTAAAGAGGATAAGGAAGATGGGGATGTCAGTAGTTTTGGAGATGAGTTGTCCCGTTTAACAGTAAAGTTCATATCTACTATGATACATGAAACCCTCTCTTAATTCTGAGGTTAATTTTTAATGTCACGTTACAATAATAGCTACCTAGATCAACATTTAATATTAAGGTCATCCTACAACATTACTGTATTTATCAATACAGCTTAATTTAGCAATTAGACTTCTTACACCATGATGAAAAATTTACGTTTCAAGATAAAAGAAATGTATTTGATAAAACATACTTTTAGTAAACAGAAGCCTTTCTCTAGATTTAATTATGGTAGAAACACATGCATATGGCCCACCTATTGCGATCCTTTTTTTTAAAGACAGCAACTTTGATTTTTTTTTCTTTTTTTTGTTACCGTGTAAAGAGACAATGCATTGCGTATATGGAAATTTACACACGGCTTGTTAACCAATCAAAACTCATGTTACAAGGTACACGGAAAATAAAGAGGAGTTCTAAAATCCGAGACTTTCATTCAGTTTCTACGGAAGCGAGTTACAGTTACCATGAAATATTTTTTTAAAGTTGGTAATTCCAATTTTAAAGTTGGTAATTCCAACTTTAATCTCGGCTGTTCCAACTTTAAAGTTTGCTTTTCCAACTTTAATGTTTGCTTTTCCAACTTTAAAGTTTGTATTTCCAACTTTAATCTTGGCTCTTCCAATTTTAAAGTTGGCTTTTCCAACTTTAACCATGGCTTTCCCATCTTTTTACGGCTTTTTGCGTTATATTCAGATACTTTATAGCTGGACTCGGGTTGCCGTTTTATACATGTAATTACAATGGAAAGAAACGATTTAATTATGAAAATATTGTGTTTGTTTGTTGTTTAACGTCCCTCTCGAGAATTTTTCACTCATATGGAGACGCCACCACTTGCTGGTGGAGGGCTGCAAATTTATACCTATACTCGGCACTCAGGGCCGTGTATAGCAGTGAAGGATCTTTTTCGTGCCAACACCTACTGCAACACGGGACCTCGGTTTATACGGTCTCATCCGAAGGACTGGTCTCCACGTCACGCAGTGGATTCGAACCCGCGACGTAAGGATCAGCTCCTTACTCCACGACCCAGACGCTCTAACCACTGCACCACACGAGCGATTTAAAATATCATTGTGTTTTCATACATTTAGTTCGGTTGTATTTGTAGCAATAGTAATATATAGTGTTTATTCATCCTATATATCAAACACCTAATAATGGTCTAATTTGTTTAAACTTATTCTCTCATACAAAACACAAATTAGTCGCCGGCGTGGCGCAGTGGTTAGAGCGTCTGCTCTAGAGTCGCGGAGTAATGAGTTGATCCTTACGTCGCGGGTTCGAATCCCACTGTGGGACATGGAGACCGGTCCTTCGGATGAGAACCGTAAAAACCGAGTCCCCGTGTCGCAGTAGGTGCTGGCACGACAAAGATCCCTCACTGCTCAATGGCCGTAAGTGCCGAATATAGGACAAAATTTGCAGCTCTCCACCGGCAAGTGGTGGCGTCTCCATATGAGTGAAAAATTCTCGAGAGGGACGTTAAACAACATACAAACAAACAAACAAAACACAAATTATATTTCTGATCTCTTTTGACAGAATGCAAACTACTTATCGGATACTCAAATGTGTTCAAGTCTCATAATTAAAATGTATGGTGAACCGTGATGTAATAGAGTCCTCCTGAATTTGAATACATGTAAATTCCCCTTTTTTTAATTATAGAGAAACTATCTTACAAAAATGAAAGAAACATGAATATTCAATATGATCGTTGAAAATTTACAAGTAAGCCAGAACAATTTATCATGAATTCATTCCATTTCTAAACAATTGGCAAAATGCCAATCGTCATATTGGAGTAATTTTTAAAATTTTTATCTAATTTTCAATTTTATTATTATTTTTTTTTTCAATTTTAATTATGGTATAATTTTTCTTTTCCAAAAAGTATTTATTATTGAAAGTTCTATATTTGACTTTGTAACCCATTGGAATTTTAAGAATTTTTGCAATTTGTAAATCCCTATGTCTCAATAAATTATAAAATCCCAAGCTTAATATTTTGCCAAGATAATATTTTGAGTTATATTTTGACAATAAGATCAACAATTTTTATTTTGTAGCTTGGTCTTGGAAGAATTTGGTCATTCAATATGTAATAATTTTGTCAATTCTTCAAACTTGGAATTGTGCCATTTTTAATAGTTGTCTACCCTTTGATACGTTGCGTATTTGATTATGATAAATGTCAGTTTTAGAAGAACATAGTCATCTGTTACTATAAAATACCTTAAAGAAAATACAAATTTAATTTTGAGTAAAATAAATCAAACGTATTTTTTACCATTTTGCTTGAATTGTTTAAGTGCTTTGCACTTAAATGTGCAATAGAGGGTGGCGCTTCCTACGACTGCTATGTTGGATGATGAGGAAATTTTTTGGCTTTTTTGAATTACATGTTATGAAGTCTAACTATCCACCAGATTTCATCAAGATATGACAACCTTCGATCTGGACAGTTTTGCATGGTTTTCTCGGTTTCATGGACTTGCTCTTAAAAGGTTTGGTTGAAATCTTGTCATGTACGGAGTTGTATGAAGTTATTCTCTATATAATTATATAAGATGGACCAAAAGAAATATATAATTAATGCATGGTTTTTAAAGTTGGAAGATATATGTAAGAGAAAGTCGAGGTAAAATATGATTGACACAAATTAATTGCTTACCAATCTATTTTATTAATTTTGCATTAATATAAGATGGTAATAATTAAAATGAAGGGAAAAAAGCTAAGGAAAAGGGCTAGAAAAGCTCAAATTAAAGTTGAAAAAGCCGAGATTAAAGTTGGAATTATCAACTTTGAAGTTGGACAAAATTATTGCATGGCACTAAAACGCTTCCGTAAGCTTCAGCATCGGATCCAGCATTTCCGGTTGAGGGAGGTAAAAAATATTAAAAATACAACGAAGCATCATATTCATTCGTTGCAAATACCACAAGAAAACATTGAGGTTGCCATCAATTGTCGCCCTAGAAATAAAAGTAAAATCTTGATCATCAAACTTCTTCGATTTGTGTGGGCATACGTCTGAATGATCGAGACTAAAATCGAAAAGATTTACGGAAAGCTTCTAATCGGATGAAAATCGAACAAAAACGATACCGATTTAAACTTTATCAAGTAACTGTTGGCTGCATAAAATATAAATTAGAATCAGACACATGTATCACCTATCATCCAAATTATATTTGCCTTAATGAATATAAAACACAAACTGTGTAACGTACGTTTTTATGCGACAAGTAAAATTTAATGTTGTAAAAAGGGGACCTGTCGTTTTGTGGATAGTAAATGATAAGCAACTTTATATATTACATATGAAAAACATATGTATTTTTTAAAGGTATATTTCATGGAAGTAAATATATTGTGTATCTCGTAATTTATAAAGGGAAAGAACATTCTTATGTATAATCTTTTTAATGTATAGTTAACCTTTAATTCTGAATAACTGGTACACCACCTTTATCCTAAACGTATATCATATGTATAGAGCAGCCCGGTCCTCCGGGCTGCAATAAGGATTAATTTATTGTTCCATGCTTGAAACTAGACAGCATGAAGCTAGTTGATTTTGAAGCATTGTTACGTAACAGTTGTCTATAAAAAAATATTAGTATATTTTGTATCCTTCTGAAATCAAATCTTAAATCTACAAGTAAGACAGTCGATACGCAACATCTATTGAATATATAGATTTCTCTTTTTAGGAGATGTTTCATTATACTTGTATGTTTCAGCCGTCATATTTCTTCTGATCTTGTCGTTACGAAGCTGTTTCTCAGACTGGACTTGGGTAAATGATTACGACCAACGTTTCCGATTTGAGTGCCCTAGAGGTAAGTACCTGTCTGGGGTACAGAGTACATTCAGCGACTATCATCATGACCGGAAGTTTAGCCTTCGATGTACCTCTGATTTCCGATCCATAACTCATTACTCTTACTGCAGTTGGACAGGTATTTGCCCATAAATATATTAATAAGTGAGGGTTTGTCTCGTAACGCTATCATCTAAATCGTTAAAAAATCGCTAGAAGAATTTTTATTTGTTTGCCAATTATTTTTTATTGCAGATTATGTGAATGAAATGGACATGCCCTTAATATTTCAATGCCATGACGGGGGAGTTATAAGCGGGATAGAAAGTTTTCATGACAACCACTACGAGGACAGAAAGTACAAATTCAAATGTTGTCACTATAGATGTGAGTAGAAAACTGAATTGTTCTTTCTAACAGTCATTTATCAGCGAGTCATAAAATGTTTTTATGTCATTTAAAAAAAAGAGTTTATATTGACATATTGTAATGATGGAATTTCTGTATTTACAAACAAGGTCATTATAACGACTGTAGAATTTGCGAAAAGTTGACTTTAAACGGGATTGTTAAAACCCTTGTGACATCAACTTATTTGTTCGTAGCTTCGGTTTAAAAACTGATCATATTCAGAGAATGTTGTTGCATATCGAATCAGTTTGGAGACATAAGCACCATATGCAGCTGATGCTGGAATATTTCTACTAAAGAGAAGTATACGAATGAAAAGCAGAAGTCATCCCGTTTCTCATACAGGTTAGTTATTAGATGGCCATTATTGTCTATAGCCAGCATCCAAATCTGAAACATGTGTTGCAAACTATTTAGTGTCTTTTGTTTCGAGTCCACTGGGATATATCGAGTCGACATGAATGAAGTAGCCTATCTATTGTTAATTGTTAAAACGTCGTCGATATATTTATATGTTGAAGGTCACAGCAACAGTTTTCTTCTTTTCTTGTAGAAGTTTTTGAATAAATTCTGCTTCAATGGAATATAAAAACAAGCCGGGTAATAAAGGAGTACAATTAGTACCCATCGAATTTCCAACAGATTGTTGGAAGACTTGGTCTTCAAAGACTACATAGATATTGTCAATGAGGAACTCCAGCATCTGTTTAATATCAGTTTCAGAGTACTTGTTTGTATAGGATCAGAATGATTTTGATAAAGTAATTTTGTAGATCAAGACCAATCACAAGAAAGGAGAATTTACTAGCACGACTTTTCATTAAGGAAGTAGTTGTCTATGACGTCAAAAAGCTTGCTATTTAATATATATTGTGATGAATGGTTGTATAAGAAGCATAGAAAAGTCATTTGTTTTGATGCTACTGATGTTTGACGTTTGAAAAGTTTTCAGATTTTAGATTTTCCAAAAGTATTTTGTAGGTTTTTAGAATCCACTTTTGATTTACACCACTTCTTGAATATACGTCTGAAGTTTCTCCTTCATAGCAGTTAATATTCTGGTGAGGAGTAAATTAAAATTAGGGGTTTGGTTGAATATTTACTGCACCCTGCAATATATCTTTATTTGCAAGGAAGTTTGGAATCCAGCGTGTAGGTACGGTAAATCAAACTCTCTTCTACTGACTGGGATGTTAAATGTATTTAAAACTGATGGGTGATAATGAAGAATTTCATCCTTTCAAAGGAAAGATTACGAGATGTGGAATGAAAGCCCAAGTTCTTCTAAAATGCATTTGAAATAATGAGCCTTACAAACAAAGACTATATTAATAACAATATTGTTACAGGCTTTGTCAGCTGAAACCAAAACATATTTTGCATATAATCTTTCTAATTATTTTAATATCACTTTCGGTCTACTGAAAACAAAAGGATAGATAGTTCACATTTTGCCCTTTAATTTTCTAATGCGATACTTTGATATAATATTATATAAGAAACGTTTAATCAATTCTCACAGAGTGTCAAGGTCTTCCCCTTCATATTTAGCCCTAGCTGCAGAACTGTAGCTCTCTGCTTGAGAAAATTCGGACAGAGAAAGCAGAGAACTACAGATCCAAGCGTTGTAAAAACCTTCGATTTACGCCGCCGCTTTTTTGTCGCTCGCTTCGGCTATTATTTCTTGTATTTAATGCTTTCCCCTGCTTTAAAAGTGGTATCCAATAATTATTCATATATTTTACTCCTATTCCTGATACTTTATTTACCTTTCAACAGTTCCAGACGGCCGTAATATCAGTTTAACAAATGCATTCCGACGTCGACGTTGGTGTCCTCCTGAAACAACACGCCCGAGTTTTAATTATCTCATTTCTTGTTTACGTTCATGTTGTATTCTAATCTTTATAGATAATATACATGATATTTAAACCTCCTGAAATTTTTATTTACATTTTCTTGACAAGTATATGTTCTTTGAATTACTTCTTTTCGCACGACCCCCAATAACATGGACGTCGGAATGGGAATTTTTTAAACCGACATTTCAAAACCATAAAGGGCTGTTTGAGATCGTTGAAAGGTAAATAAAATATCAGGAATAGGAGTAAAATATAAGGATAATTATTGGATACCACTTTTAAAGCATTAAATACAAGAAATAATAGCCCGAAGCTAGCGACAAAAAGCGGCGGCGTAAATCGAAGGTTTTTACAACGCTTGGATCTGTAGCTCTCTGCTTTCTCTGTCCGAATTTTCTCAAGCAGAGAGCTACAGTTCTGCAGGTAATTTAGCCCATCCTGTAGCATCTTCTATCATGATAACTTTTTTTAAATTTTGAACTATACACCCATGTACATCACCAGTAATGATGTGTCCAGCTGGACCATAGTTGGAAGAATAGAAAGTACAAGAACACTTAAGAGGATATTGTTTTAGCTAGTCAATATACGCACAGTTGAATTTGTTTAAAATTGAAAATTTTGGATGCAAAGTTGCGAAATATCTGACAGGTAAGAAATGCAAGTTGTACTCTTCGACTCAAAATACAGTGGAATACAAGACTGATTTTTTAAAAATCTTATTGATTAATTAATTAAATAATAAATTATGGAATAGTGACCCTCTGCTCTAAATTTCACGATTTTTTTAAACTTTCGAACATTGATTTTCATCAAGAGCTATTCAAATGAAAAATACAATGAGGTATGAAGCGCTGCTTATTTTTTCAGAAATGATTTTTATGTCAGATCATAATTATGAAGAAATTTTAACACAGAGAATAGGAAGAGAAATAATTTATTATCACAACATAAAATTAAAAATATGAGGTGTATATAAAATAATATTTAGTGTCATACCTATTAAATTCATATTAGAAAACGTAATAAAGCACTGCTTCCTAAGTCAGAATATCGCAATGTTATATGTGGTTGTAGGAAAAGAATGCATCTGTTAGCAAGACTTGATACATCAAACCATTTTTAAAATGGTCCTTAAAAAGATAGAACTTATTCAATTTGTAAGGGTTTTAAAACTGGATTAAAATGTTTTTGTCAAATTAAATAAAACAATTTGAGAAGTATAGGCAAGGGAAATAGAAGGTAATATTTCCATCATGTGTTATGTTTGAATGTTTGATGGAATTGAATAATAATAGGTCTCAATAATTAAACTCTGATAAGGTAAACTATGAGTAATATTACTATTTTTTACTTGGAAAAATGTCTCTTTTATCAGAGGATCGGTCCCCCTTAAACAAACACTAGCCTGTATACTGGTGTTGAAGAATCCAAGGTGACATCCTCTTGTTTTGAAATTTAAACTGAAGAGGTGGACAGAAGTACATTAATTACATTTCAACTTGTATTTTTGTATTTACTGCCATCCAAAGGGTAAAACTTCAACATGGAAGCATTACAGTATCAATTTTAATGCTATATCATTTAACTAAAAATCACAACTTTGAGTAGATGGTATTAATTCTAGATAACTTTACGGGATTTTCCTTTTAAGATCATATGAAGCTATTCATTTTAGTACAACGTTGTAAAAACAAAAAAAGAAAACCATCCAGACAAGCCATTTTGTTCCTTTTTATTTTTGTGTAGGATGGTTTAAATACTGAACATTCTTGTCTCTCCCCCTTTCTATGTAATGATATCATTATCAATATCAAAGTGTATTGGCTTAAAGAAACACAAGTGCGAGCTAGCTTACCTTCCAACTTGTTTGTTCTACATTTTAGATCTTATTTAAAAAAGAGAAAAATTAAATCTAAAGGCTAATTAATAATTTCACAGATATGTGTGTGTACAACTGCTACTACACTGGATGGTTGAACAATTTTGGAGCATATTTCAGATATGACTTTCCACAGAACCATTTCATCAGGGGAATTATCAGTTTACATAAAAACACCCCCGAGTAAGTAGTGCTGTAGACTGTGCTTTTGTATTAATAGCATTTCAAACTCGTTTACAAAAATTTACAATGTTTATTTCCAGTCTCAAGGATCGCACATCGTCTGTTATGAAATGTAAATGGTGAAAATAACGAACAATTATCAATATTTTAAAAAAAAATCTACATTTTTAAAATTCTAATTAACTTAAAAAATACTTTTTTTCCTATGAGTATGTATACTTTTATTTAATTTCACATTATTTCTCAACTGAGTATGACCTGTAAAGCAGAGCCTTATTTAAAAAAAAAGATTTTAAACATACCAAATTTAAATTGAAGAACAAGTTTTAACAGGGCAATGTTATTATATAAAAAGTAGTATGACCACATTATGTTGCCTCCCCCCCCCCCCCATATTTTGTACTGGAAAATGTTATGTTGACATTTTTTTTAAAATTGGGATGAGACACATGAAATCAAAGCAAAACCTTTGTAAAGAAAAATAACAAACTTTTTACAAGGTTCATTATTATTATTATTATAATCTCTCTCTCTCTCTCTATACATGTATATATATAGTCTAACTACGTTATCTTGAACTCAGTGTCGAGATATCCCAGGATCTGAGATATCCAGATTATAATACAGTTGGGACTTCCAGCTCTCTTTGACCTATCATGGTAATCGAGATAACGATCTTCTATATACCAAAATTCAAATGTGTATAAACAGACCAATATGTTATGATTTTTATGCTCAATGTATTCCTCACATATGCATTTCATGTTGTGTGTGACTGTGTGTGTATGTGTGGGTGTGTGTATGAGTGTATATATAAATTTGTGAAAATTTGCATATGCTTCATAAAACGATTCAAAAGTCTTATTACTTTTTTTTAGTGACAGGGTATTTGATTTTGAAATATGTTCCATTAACTTTGATTGTGAACACACCACTCAAACTACCACTACATCTACCACCACCACCACCACCACCACCACCAGGGCGACCACCGCCGCTAGAACCACATATGATGTGTACCTTCTCTCCATGGTGCACGGAGATCGTCCGAACTCTGTTTCCATCCTAGGGAGAAGGTCAAGTGCAGAAAATCTTTCGCAGAGTTTATAAGTGTAGCAGACAATTTGACAAAAAATTAAAACATTAAAAAAAAATTAAATTACGGAAAGTAAGTACACATACATGAAGGAAAAAAAATACGATTAACCTTAAATTTTTGTTTTCTTCTCTTTCCAAGTTTATCCTTTAACGTTTTTGAGCTTGTGGTTTTAATGATTGTCCCTATATTTTTGTAACGAAAGTACTAAAGAAAATTTTAAAACGTAGTTTGAATAAAAATGAGAAAGAAAGCCTAATGTGGCGATGGGAAAAGGTATGATGTAAACACCTATTCTCAATTTATTGTGCCCTATTGTCCTTGTGCAAAAGTAAAAAATGTGTGAATTGAAACTAACATTTCGATATGCCATTTGAAGTATGAATGTGTATACTTTTTAAAAGAAGGTGGGTGAACAAGGTGTGCAGAATGCCTATAGCTTCAGATATTTAAAAAAATCATATTCAATTTGAAAATTAAGTATTTAAGGAGGAGAAGGACCTTGAGCTGAAAAAATACTTGTCATTCAATTTTTTTCATATTTTGTATATTTCTAATTAAGTATGCCCCACATATCTTAAAGCAGTTACATCATTAGGTTTCTTACCTTATTTTGGGATATTGATTGACAAATACTATGCCCTACCGTATCCTAGTGGATTTTAATTCTCCATGTTTCCGGGCTCATTACTCTGTCCATAGTGGGATTTTTTAAGCATATATAAAAAATATCAAAGTGTACATGTATCTTTTAAATCATTTCAGAGTATAACTAGGATTTAATATTCGAAAAAGCAAGTTTTGTCTATCACACTGCATCTGGATAGGGAAATCACGCACTTTTTTAAGACAACTAAAACAATAAAAACGTAATTTACAATTCTATCATTCAATATTTTTTAAATTACGTTGAAATGCAAATCTTTCAAATTATTGATTAACCGTAAAAATTTCGAATGATGAAGCTGACCTCATTACTTCACAGGACATCGTTAAAGAGGACATAAGCATGACTTTTCAATTTATAGGGCAACTTGCTTGACCGGGGAAGCGAATTAGATAAAATCTGAAGCTAACAGCATTGTAAGCAGTAACTTATAGAAGGTCTATGTCGTTTTTATGCTTTATGCTGCATATCTGAGCCGTTTTTCAATTGTGATATAGATATACATGTATTTTTAAAATTTCCTTTTTAAAAAATAAAGTTTAAATTTTTGATATAACAGCTGTTATTGCGATTGTTTATATAAGGACGGTTTATCATCATTAAAAATACGCCAAAGGAAAAAAATCAGTTGACACTTGTTTAGTTGTTCCGTACCTTTTCGTGATACTGTTGTGGTCTCAATGTGATGATAAATAAACGCTTTCTAATGCTTAATTTTTAACTTTAATTACCATCTTATATAAAAAAAAAAGTTTTAACATTCTAATTATGAAAAAGATTGATCCACTCCTCTGTTTCCCTAAACTGCGCGTCCAACAAGTCGGTGACGTCATACACGATCTGTTAGTACAACAAGATCATACTCGGTGAACACTGGGGCGGTATTATTGTGTAAAAACAGGTCATAATCAGTATATGATGAAATATTTTGAGAAAAGGGGAACACAAAAATTATTTTTGCATGGCTGATGATGGACATCATATGCAGGTATATCTTATTTCGCTTATTTAGCTTACGTGTGACCTCATAGTTGTTTTTCCCGTACTCGAGAAATGTAACATGACATGTTTTTGTCAATATTTTTAAAAGGTCACCAACCCCACGACCTACGTTAAGTATTTAAACATTATTGAAATTTATGAAATTATGATCAACAAAACTTTTCTGAGAAAAAAAGATCTCGGAAAAAAATATTCTTTTATTTAAAAAATAAAATGGTATTCCCCTTAACAATAAGAATCCGGAGTATCTTATTGCTTTGAGACTAACACGCTAACCACTATGCTACACAGCTCCTGATGAATAGTGGCATTTAAATCATGTTTGTGATATGACCCTTGACTTAATGGACTTCAAGTATTTCTGAGAGAGATGCGAATGCTTTGTCATAAAAGTGTACTTTTAAGGTATAGTGGGTCTTTGCTCCATGTTTTTGTAAACCAAAAATTGTATATTTTTATGCAAACTTTTAGGATTAACTTTCAAAAAATGGAGCGAAGACCCACTCATATCGAAAAATTTTGTTTAAGTATGAAAAAAATGATCCTTTTTGCCCTCTTTAGTGTGTATGCTATTTCGTAGGCAAATAATTTCAGTCTTTGTGAGATTTTGGTAAATTGTAGTGATTTTATATAAAGTATACTTTAATGTTAGATGGAATATCAAAGAGAATTTTGATATAATTGAGATTTTATTTTTCATTTTATGTTTGTAGCACTATAGGCACTTCGCTTGTTCACCCATCTTCTTACAATTTGAAAAAAACAACAACAACAACAACAACAACAAAAAAAAAAAAAAAAAAAAAAAAAAAAAAACAGTATGTTCCCAAACTTTGTTTGGGGAACATAATGACATACTTCATGATGTATTTTGTTAGCGTTCATCGAAATGGATGCTGTTAGAAGGCTTAATTTACGTTATGTAAATAAAAAATAACATCATTAAGATAATGCACATCAAATCAATTACGAAACAACTGAAGCACTTTTGTAAGAGGAATGTAGAGTGTATAAAACAAAGCTCTCTAAAATCCTTCATTTAAAATTTGATTCTGTACTAATCAGGTAAAAGAATAGCACATCATCTAAAAGGTTTGAAAGTAAAACATTTCCCCTTATTACCTAATTTCAAGAAAGTGTGTAAAATGTCACGTTATTATCAAGTTACAAAAGCCACCGTGAGAATTATATGTATATTCCTCTGCAGATACATGTAGTGGCCAAGGGACATAAGTATCTAAATATATAGATACGTTTTTGACCTTGAATAAAGGGCACTAAATAAAGCTTCAAGTTAACCACAATTTCCACATTTGCTCACTTTAAGATTATTCAAATAATTAACTTTTTCTTTATTCAGAATCTTTTAATGAAATTTGTTATTCCTTTATCCCTCCTGGTAACATGCACGGGTACTGGAAGTTAATGTAAATATTGAGTATGTGCATGTATAAAAAAGGAAGGGTAGGGCACTCTTTTTGAGGCAAAGTCGGGTTGGGGTATTGTGGATGTTTTTTAAACGGCCTGACGCGACAAATCCTCTCTATATACTTTACCTACAATATATTTCTTGCTTCGTTCCGCTCCAATGCATTTTACTTGAAGAAATAGACGTTTTTACACCTCCAAGTGCCTAGGGATTTTGCTAGACTGCTCTATTTCCGGTTACAATCACCGGTTTTCGGTATCCAACATCCACAACCATTTATTTTGACCCGACCATGGCAGTTCTTCTCTCTCTGTTCCCCCCTCTCTCCTTACACTGTCTATTCTCTGGGACTACATTTCCTACAAACTCGAGACCCAATGGCCTTAACGGCCATCTTAGTATAATACAACACAGTAAAGGATCCATAAAAGAACAACAAAACCCAGATAGATGAATATATATTGCCCAAAATCAAGAGAAACACGATGATATGGAATCAAGCAGAATACGTGTAATTTGCCTAGTACTCAGTAACAAATCATATTTTAAGCAGATACATGTATATTTACTTGCCTGCACCTGTCAGTGCTAATAAACATGCATTTTCAATATATAATGAATATCTGTGGCCATATCCACACCAGAACCTCTAACCCAGAGGCCATGAATCTCAAAATCCTTGCACATCATACGCATGCAATTAATTTGTCTACTAAATACCTACATGTAAAGACAGAGAAGAAGATTTGTAAAGAATTTATGCATTTTCACTACAAGTTCAATGGAGTCCCGCCCTAACACAGAACCCCTGACGAAGGGGCCAAGAATTCCATAATTTTGGATGAGACACTCTTGCTTATCATAGTCATACACCTAAATGTAGTTAGTTTAATAAATACCCAGGAGCAGAGAAGATTTTCAAAGAATAAATGCATTTTAACTATATTACCAATAGAGCCCCGCCTTAACACCCAAACCCCTAGGTAAAGGGCCATGGATTTCACAATTCTGGAAAAGGCACCCTTGCTCATCATAATCATACACTTAGTTTGCTTAAAACCCAAGAGATGAGAAAAGGGTTTTCAAAGACAAAATGCATTTTCACTATATGATCAAAGAGCAACAAGAGAGTAGAACGTATTCCTAAACTGTCTGGAGCTTGTAACTCTCCATATTTTTGTTCTTGATTGTTTTCAACGTCTATAAATGTTTATCATGTATCATTTAAATCAATGAAAAAATCATGATATACCTATTCTCTCGCAAAAAATGCAATTTTATTGACAGACACTTTGTTTAATAACGATTAAAATTGAAATTTTTTAAGTCCTTTATTTCTACTTCAAAGTAAAATTTAATTGCCATATGAAATTTTAAAATTTGCCCTATTATATGAAGATTTCATTAAAGTGAGTAACCAGTTTTGTTTTAAACCACAGTTTTACTTTTGAATAATATTAGACAATTCAATCCAATTTCAATTTCAACAACAACAACGAAAAAAAAAAAAAAAAAAAAAAAAAAAAAAAAGGTTTCACCCACAAATCTGTTTAAAAAGGTTTAGAATTTATATTTAATTTAAATTTCAAACATAGTAACATAAATATCAGTAAATATTTTTGTGAACTTTATTGTATCTTTTAATGTTGTTATTTAATTATTTCATTGTTAATTAAGGCGTATTTATTGCTTGATTGCAAGTCAATTTAAAACAGTACAAACAGTGTTGTTCTCTCACGTAATTTTGTGAAAAAATACTGACACGTAAATAACAATGAAATTTATAACCAGTAAATCATCTTCGCTAGCCAAGGGATTCTGATCCGTTTACTCTTCTCACAAACCCTTGGCCTATGGCGTTGTCAAAAGTCGGGTTTGGTTTCGTCACATGATCTCGAATCTTACATGTACCACATATGCAAAGATTGCGTCATGGACAGAAATAAAAATTAAATTTTTTGGAGAATAATTAACAATAAGGTATCGAACGATGTTTATTTGTTATTTGGCGTGCAAATCTACATCTGCAATATAGATTCCTGATGATATTATTTGCACATCAACTTAAGATTGGATGACACCATAGAATTAATAAAATGGCATATTATCTTTTCGTTCCCGAGACTTAAGAGTCAAGATATATCCCGAACACAATTATTGTCATTTACAAAAAGCAATTGCTGATTGGTCGAACGATATCAATCGGCTCCAATCACAACTCGAGAAAAAAAAATCCCGATTTTTTTCAGCACCGTAGGCCAAGGGTTTGTGAGGAAAGTAGCGGATCAGAAACCCTTTGCTAGCGAAGATGCCAGTAGATTGATAATAAAAAAAAGGGAGCAATATTTGAAAAATAGAGAAATGTTTGATAAATACAGGTAAACAGTCTCTTCTGCCACATACCATATAATAGAATATTGTTTTTAATGTTCATTAGTTATAATTTAATCATATCGCGTCATTTCAGCAAAGCCTCAAGTTCATTTCAGTATTCTTAGTACAAATTGGAAAGTATTTGTTTTTATTTTGTATATGCAGCGAAATTCAATAATACTATTTTTTTAAATTGTGTCATGCATATGTATTAAGGGTGTGATATTCGGATTATATAACTCAAATGTGGGACAATGTAAGTAAGAAATAAATACTTTACAACAGTCGGCGGCAATAAATATCGATTTCTGCCATAAAATGTGATTTTCTTCTAAGACAACCGTTGAATTTACGACAAACAAATGTATATTTTAATCAACAATGGCTTATATGACTGGCAGAAAATGAAATTCTTTGAAATGTTATACTCCTTAAAACACTGTACATTATTAAAAGCTTATTGAAGCTATACTCTGAAAATCAGCATAAAATGCGAAAGCATTTTAAAAGCATAATAGAGAAATACCCAGTTTAAACATTTAAACAATAATACCCCCCCCCCCCCCCGATAAAGGAACACTGTCAAGTTACGGCAAGAGTTACGTTCTTTCGTAAAATGTTGGTATTTTTCTAATAAAGCGAAGTAAAAACTTTATTACAGTCTGTCAAAGAGGCGTAATAATGCTAAGTATGCGAGAAAAGATGGTTAAAATGCCTCTCAAGAGACATAAAAGGCGTGATAATACCTTTCCACTAAACGTTATGACTTTTTGAATAGACATAGTAACTTCTTTTTCCGTCTTATAACATTTGCACTTTTTCGGCGTAAATACGCCTTTTCATTGGCTTTATACATCTTCATTATGTCAAGGTTTTTGTGATATTCGTACACAAACCTTTCACAAAAGTCGCTATCTAAAAATCGGGCTGAAAAGCTACATTTGTTCCTGACAAGGACTGGGAACCAATCGGAAAACATCTTTGTAAACAAATATGACTTTTCTTTAAATGGAAAGTGACAATATTGTAGGATTTGTGACTAGTTACCTCAAAATATACTAGTATCGGAGATTAATTTTTGGAAGATCCTTCTCCTAACAATCACAAAGGATGTGCTACGGCTTAAGACACTTGATAGTGACAGACTTGAAAGAGATATTCTCATTGGTTGGTTTATAATTAACCATTACTTCATGTGTAACCACAAGCCCGACTTTTAAATAGCGACTTTTGTCAAGGGTTTGTGTAGAGGAGCGAAATCACAAAACATTTTTGATAGGCATCTATGTCAAGGCAGTGCCTCGGAGTAAAAGAACCATAACAGGGAGAGGGAACCAGCTAGACTAGACTTTTGAAAGAAATATTTACGCTTTTTACTAACTTGGCGTTATTACGCCTTTTGAAAGGCAATTTTTATTATATTGTTATACAATATACTGCGTTTTTGCGTTAATACACTTATATTTCGACATTGTGAAATCCTTCTTAACGTTTTTCTAACCTTTTTGGGCCATTACGCCTTTCACTTTGCATTTTAACTTCTTTCAGTTTGTACTCAGTTATCACCAGGTATACTTTGTTAATTGTATTTCCTGTTATTGAAATTCCTGTGAAGATATTGCTATTGCTGTTTTTCTGTAGTATGAATAAAATTCTTACTTATCTATATTTTATACAACTACATCATTCACGGCCAGTTGACAAGAGCCTGTATATTAATATAAAAGCAGTGTAACTTTCCTTTCCCCTCTTTTTATATATGAAACAACATCAGTGTGAAGAATACACTAATAGGATGGACCGTCTTCTGATGAAAAAATATGAATATTCCTGACATCTTTAGACATCTACGTTTTCTACATAACAGCAAAGAAACAAGTATATAATTTTATTTAAAATCGATGTGAAGATATTAAGTATAACAACTGAAAAACAGGGAGACAAATTAATGGATCTTTTTGTTCTTTTAACTTGTGCATATGTCATAAATTGCATCAAATTTTAGTCGTCTAGTTTCTCTGTTCATCACTATGGTTAATTTAACAAGCAGTTTTGACTGAAATATAAAGGAAATGTCTGTGCATCAACAGTTATAGATTCAATAGTAAGGATATAGTTCGGTATCATCGTACCCCCTGGGAGCCTGATAGCGCTTGTTCCAGCTCCCACGTTTCCCAGCACACCTACAAAAAACAATAATAATCTCTGTCCATGTTATATAAATTGATGGAAGTTTTGGATCACAATAGGAAAAAATAGTAGATTAACTGGTCGAATTACAAGATCGCTGGAAAGGATTGTGTTATTAGAAAAGTCACCACGATAAGAAATTTCAATAGTATAATTTTGTATATTGCTAATGATGTGTTCATATCATTTTTCAGCTGCAATTTGTTTCATACCACAGATAATTCAGTACTTGGAAATACAGTAAACTCCCCCAGTTTTCTTTTGCAAAGAATTCTGTAGATAAGGAAGAAAACTAAGGTTTTGGTAATGTCTTTGTTTAATGGGTCTTTGAAATCGGGAACCGTCAATCCCCAAGCAAACTTCATTTAACGGACCGTGAAATACTTACGGTGGAGCTGACAACCCACAGGACATAAAACATTCAGCAAATTTAGTACAACACTCTTCTCCATTCCGACGCTTACAGGAAAACAGAGTTTTCATGCAGGCATAAGAACATGACCCTTTGGCATTGACCTCTGCTGACATAAAGGACACTATGACAAGGGTCAAAGAAAGGATTGTAAAAAGACGCACTGACATCTGAAAATGAGAAGAAAAAAAATAAAACAAGGTTATCTCACAAATATTTAACTAACTACATGTATCTTAATATGAGGTAAAGTGAAACAATCCATTAAATAACCCAGATTGAAGTGGAAGATCATAGGAAAATAGGACTGAACCAGGTCAAGATTAAGTTGTAAAGAAGCAGATCGGTACAGTTTTAAATCTAAAATCTTATTTCTATATATATATATATCTTGATTTTAACATTGAAGTAAATGAAATTAACTTCAGAAGTATTACTGAAAGGATACCAAACGTTAAAATAGAACATAAAAATAATACAATAAACAACATGTCCTGGTCATTTATTAACGATTTTTTTATTAAATGAATTATCTGCAAAGAGCAAGAAAAACAGAGCCTGGATTACATTAAGCATTTGCTGTCTGAGTAACTCCTGGTTACTCTTATGTGTCACGAAGGTATCTAATTCGTCACATTCTCCAGACCAAAAAAAAAACCTTGGAGAGAAATGCACAGTCAATTTACTAATGAAACATATATAGGGGCCTGCATGCATAATTGATTACATTTAGCACGGAAGTCGGCTCTTTAAGATATACCCAAATGAAAATGGAAGCGCCACATCTGATGAAATATAATGTCAGTAGTACCTTAACCGTCAAAGACGCGAGCTTTGTCCCTAAAGTTTACACGTGTTGATATGGAATGTTTTAAGTGCCTATCTCTACGACATTTGCCGACCCCTCTGGGAACATTGTTCCTTCACATTAAAGGTTTTTTTTCTCTCGTTTGTGCTCTGACTTGTAAAGCATTCACTTGTGATAGTTCTAAGCTTTTATAAAGACTGTAAAAGAAATCAACAGGGATTATTTTGATATGCGTTTTTCGAAAAAAGAAGAAGAAAGAAGATGGGCGAACAAGGCGAGCGCAATGCCTACAGTGCTACAAACATGAAGGTGAAAAACTAAATCTCTTATAACAAAATTGTCTTTGATATTCCATCTAAAATTAAAGTACAATTTTTTTAAAATCTCCACAATTTGCAAAATTCTCACAAAGACTGATATTACTGGCCTGTGAAATAGCATACAAACACTAAAGAGGGCAAAAAGGATCATTTTCTCACATTATACATGTAACACAAATTCTCGATATAAGTGGATCTTCGAATCGCTCCATATTTTTAAGAGTTTATAAAGTTTGCGTAAAATTATACATTTTTTTGGTTAACAAAAACATGGAGCAAAGACCCACTATACCTTAAAAATACACTTGTGACACAACATTCGCATATTTCCGAGAAATACTTGACGTCAACTTAGTCAAGGGTCATATCACAAATATGATTAAAATACCACCATTCATAAGGAGCTGTGTAGCGTAGTGGTTAGAGTGTTAGTCTCAAAGGAAAATGATACTCAGAATTTTTATGGTTAGGGTTCGTATCCCACGAATACCACATTATTCTTTTTGATAACAAAATAATTTTTGCCGAGAAAATTTTTCTCGGAAAAGTTTTGTTTATCATAATTTCACAAATTTCAATAATGAGAACTTTACTCTAATGCTAAATTCACAAATTGATTATGATTTTTATATATCTGAAGCTATAGGCATTCTTCGCACCTTGTTCATCCATCTCCTTTGTAGAAAGTATTGAATGTTGTCAGAAATGCATGAAGTTGAAGATATTGTCTCTCTCACACAAATACAGGTGCATCACATATGAGTTTAAGTACAAAACAATAAACAAAACACAATATAAATAGTGCCTCTACTTTTCTATCAAAATTTAATCCGAAATTATGTAATGCTTTATTTTCAAAAGGACACGAATTTTCCAACATCTTAAAACCATCTTTCAAGCAAAAAATGTTGATTGCAATGACCATAAGCATTTCAATATTTTAAATATATGTGAAATTACATTGTACATGTTGTTTGTTGAAAGATCAGAAAATTCATTTACAAAGGACAACTGATCTGCGAGTCTGTAAGTAAAGGACTCAATAGTGTTGGAGGCATTTATTGTGTTAAAAACTCTGAATGTATTTCACAATAAAGTATCAGTAGTTGATGCCAAAGTCTTAGAATAAAAGATACTTACGTCTTTCCTTATTTTTTTCTACTTCTAGCTGATGATATTCAACCGTCAAATTTTATTGTCAAATTATAACTAAACAAAATATCTCTGAGGAGTACGAGGGAAATTTTATAAGAAAATCCATTTTAAACTTATTTCAACAAATTTATTGTATAAATAATTAAATCTTAGATCTGAAATGTTCGATGAAATTTTTGACTAATTTTTTGAGTAATGAATGACGTTTGAAAAGAGGGGAAAACAATTAAAAACAAAAATCACTTTGGTATTTAATATTTTGCGCATTGTTCTCTAAAATATTATATACCATCATAAAAGATTTAGAAATTTTGAGATAAGATTACACTTACCTTAAATGCACTTATTGTTCGATAAGAAGACCCTTGCTGTTGAGTTACTTTCCAAAGCACCTATGAAAGAAAAGAATGCTTCCTAATTTATAGCATTTGTGTTACTCTCGGGGGTGTGCTCAGCTATTACTATTTATATAAAGTCACGTGATGTGGATTGTGTGAGCGTTGTGTTTTAATCAGACTGAGAGCGAGAAACACTAGACAACATATAACGTGATAATTGAGGGGAATAAGAAGGCTTCTCCAGTATCAGGCAGAGAGGCATAGTTTTTACACCAACGAAATGGCTAATATATGTTAAAATGTACAAAAGTAGCATTTATCAGATCAAGTACCTACCTTTGGGTTACTTTTAGCACGAGATGTACTCAGTGATTTGACTTTATTGCTTCCTAAGATTATGCTTAAAAGCTCATTTCGAATTTCTGAAGACTAGCATTAATTGTGTAGGTTTACAGAAAAACAAAGTTGATGATGGGTACCATGCATTTAATTTTAATATATTACATAAATTTCTTGCCTTAAAGGTGCTTGGACACAGATTTGAAGTTAATATTGTCTCAAATTTTTGGTATAATATCATGACTTATATGTTTTTATAGCATTTCACATGGAAATAAAATAAAACATGAGGCCCAGGGGCCACATCGCTCACCTGAGCACTCTGGCTAGGAAAAAGCAGAAATCAGTTCAGTCTTGAAAAGTTTAAATATAAAAGGGGTTCGGGGTGGGGGGGGGGGTCATGATTTGTACAAATTTGAATCTTCATTTCCTGATGATGCTTCCATTTAAATATGACTAATCATGGCTTTGCTGTTCTTGAGAAAAATATTTTAAAAGATTTTTCCTATGTTTTCTTATGTAAAACTCTGATCCCAATTGTTGCCCCACCCTACCCCCGGGGGTCATGGCTGGATCAAACTTAAATCTACATTACCTGAGGATGCTTCCCTATAAATATGACCCATCATGGGTTTACTGTTCTTATAAAGAAGATTTTTAAAGATTTTTCCTATATATTCCTATGTAAAACTTTGATCCCCCCTTGTGGCCCCACCCTTCACCCGAGGGTCATGATTTGAACAAACTTGAATCTACATTACCTGAGGATGCTTCCATATAATTTTGATCAATCATGGCTTTGCTGTTCTTGAGAAGAGCATTTTCCCTATGTTTTCTTATGTAAAACTTTGATCGCCCATTGTGGTCCCACCCTACCCCCGGGGGTCATGACTGGAACAAACTTGAATCTACACGACCTGAGGATACTTCCATATAAATATGATTAATCATGGCTTTGATGTTCTTGAGAAGAAGATTTTTAAAGATTTTTCCTATGTATTCCTATGTAAAACTTTGATCCCCATTGTGGCCCCACCCTACTCCCGGGGTCATGATTTGAATAAACTTGAATCTACACTACCTGAGGATGCTTCCATATAAGTTTCATATTTTCAAGCACAGTGGCTTTTGAGAAGAAGATTTTTAAATGATGCCATTAATTTTTCATGAATTCATAATTATCTCCCCTTGGAAAAGGCATGGCCCTTTATTTAAACAAACTTGAATTCCCTTTACCCAAGGATACTTTGTGGCAAGTTTGGTTGAAACTGGCCCAGTGGTTCTTGAGAAGAAGAAGAAAATGTGAAAAGTTTACGACAACGACGACTACGACAACGGACAAATTTCAATCAGAAAAACTCACTTGAGCCTTCGGCTCAGGTGAGCGAAAAATCTTATTTTATCTAGAAATTATTGAAACTACAAATTTCGGGACGCATTTGATTGACACATCTATGCACTTTCACAAAGTAAACTTTGTCCTTAATACTTAAGAAAAGTAGAAATTTTGTTGTGCATTAATGAAAAATATTAAACTATAATCCAGAAAATAAAGAGTAGAAATGTGAGAAAGCAAAACCAACTCACCAGTATTGTCAGTACGTGCTCAGTGATGTGTGCAAATTTTAACAAATTGAACACATCCGTGAAACGTTAACTGTTTTTGTAAACAGGGCAAGAACTCTGTTATTGTTAATGTTTACGTTTCACCGGGTGTGTTCATGCATAAAAAAAATAATTGCTTCCTGGAGGTTGAAAAAAGTTTTGAGTCGGGCCATTTTTATTTTAGATTAGGATTTAAATGTTAATAAGGTTAATCTCTTCACAGATGTTTAACTGCTTAACTTTTTTCAAACAATATTATTATCAGCCGCTGGAGCAGCTGACTATTTGTGGTTTTGTTAGAAAGTACACATGGGGAAATGAGTCTTTTTTTTTTTAAATTTTCTTTATTCGTTCAATATCATCATCAGTCATTTAAGAAACTATCATTTAGATAAAGGAAAAGACTTTTCAAAAACAAACTAAAGGCAACAAGTATGAAAATAAGCATCTGAACATTTAATCATGCGAAGAAAAAAATACAAGAACAGTTATCAAAAAGTCCATTGAAACAATACAAATTTGGAGCAGAGCACCAGAGGACCTCCTAAAATCATCAGAGGCGGGGTCAGGCGCCAAGGAGGAGCAAGCACCCCCGCCGACTGGCCACACCCGCCGTGTGCTCATTTTCATGATCGGGCAAACGGAAAATATCGTTGACGATTTAGTGTTTAAATAATGGTCTAACAACTAGCGCGAAGAACGTCAGCCAGCATTCGATTTAATGATAGATCGTATTTGCCGGCAAGGTCATTGTTCGACCACAGATCCTGCCAAATGATGACCATAAACTAGATTCTTGTCATCCCCGTTTCATCAACCCGCCTGTCCATATTCCGCCTCGTTTCAGAAATTGGAGTTTTTAATATCTTGAATTTATTTTCAAACAAATGTTAAAAGTGTTCAGCTACAACCATATGCTGAACAATGGAACAAAATGTTTAGATACCAAACAGGGATTTATCTCAAAAATCCTATTAACAAGGAAAGTTTGTGTACAGGACATAAAGCAGATCCCTATATTCAGGATATGGGATCAGGTGAAAAAAAAGTGTCCAAAACAGTAACCAGAAGGACTTCAATGTGGTGTCCAGATGACCTCTGCTTTTTTTAATGATGTACAATATAAGGTGACCTCTGGTCTCCGTATTCATATACAACTTTATGTAATCTCTGGTCCCCGTAATGAAGAACAATATAAGATTACCTCTGCTCCCCCTAATGATGTACAATATAAGGTGACTTCTGGTCTCTCTAATAATGGACAATATAAGGTGATCTCTGGTCCCCCTAATGAAGAACAATATAAGATTACCTCTGCTCCCCCTAATTATGTACAATATAAGCTGACTTCTGGTCTCTCTAATAATGGACAATATAAGGTGATCTCTGGTCCACCTAATGATGAACAATAAAAAGTGACCTCTGGTCTCCCTTATGATTACAATATAAGGCGACCTCTGGTCTCCGTGTTCATATATAACTTCATTTGACAGCTGATCTCCATTATGATGTACAACATAAGGTACCCTCTAGTCTCCGTATTCATACACAGCTTTATGTGACCTCTGGTCTCCCTAATAATGTATAATATTAGGTGACCTCTGGTCTCCTTAATGATGTACAATATAAGGTGACCTCTGGTCTCCTTAATGATGTACAATATAAGGTGACCTGTGGTCTCCTTAATGATGTACAATATAATTGACCTCTGGTCTCCTTAATGATGTACAATATTAGTTGACCTCTGGTCTCCTTTATGATGTACAATATAAGGTGACCTCTGGACTCCGTATTCATTTACAACTTTATATGATCTTAGGTCTCCCTAATGATGTACAATATAAGGTAACCTCTAGTCTCCGTCTTTATATACAACCTTTGGTCTTATACAGTTTTTTTTTTACATCATAAGGACACAAGGAGTCACATAAAGCTGAATATGAATACGGATACCAGAGGTTACCCCACATTATACACCATAAGAGGGCGCAGGGGTCACTTAAAGTTGTATATGATTGCGGAGACTAGAGGTCATCTTATATTGTGCGTCATAAGGGAGATCAGAGGTTACATAAAGTTGAATATTAATACGGAAACTAGAGTTCTCTCTAAATTGTACATCTTTACTGATACCAGAGTTCATATTAAATTGTATACGGAGACCAGAGGCCACCTTATATTGCAGATTATTTGGGGGACCAGAGATCAACTTATATTGTACATCTTTAGGGGAACAGAGATCACCTTAAATTGTACATCATTAGGGAGACCAGAGGTCAACTTATATTGTATATAACATAATTTAGGAGAACAGGTCACATGAAGTTGTATATGAATACGGTTACCAAAGGTCACCTTTTATTGTACATTATTAGGGGAACCAGAGATCACATAAAGTTGTATATAATATGGAGACAAGAAGTCACCTTACAAGGCCGTAACTAGGCCCAGATTTTTGGTGAGGCAAGGGGGGCACTTGAATACCAAGCTGGTCAAGGGTAGAGTCCCGATGGGAGTTCTCAGGGGAGGGAAGGGGTTCCTAAAACCTTGGTTTTTAGCAAATTAAAAATTTGGAAGTTTTCATATTTTGAAATTTTTTTAAACCGTTCTAAACTACCGGTATAATGAAGCACCTGAATTACAAAACTCTAAAATTTTAGTGAGGCATTTGCCTCACTTACCTCAATGGTAGTTACGGCCTTGTCTTATATTGTACATCATTACGGAGATCAGTAGTCACATAAAGTTGTATGTAACTGCGGAGTACAGAGGTCACCTTGTATTTTACGTTATTAGGGAGACCAGAGCTCACCTTATGCTGTAGATCATTAGGGAGACCAAAAGGTCACCTAATGTTGTAGAGAGACAATAGGTTAAAAAGTGTGGTATATAAAGAATTATTTCCCAAACTGATTTTAATGACAAGCAAAACCAAAAAGGTACACAATTTCTCCACATTCACTAAATTTATTTCGTCGGAATGGGTGTGTGTGTTTAGTCAATTTGCTTGTCTTCATATACATGTATATGATTCTTAGAAGCAATTCTCATGGGGTCCGTGTTTACTAGGTCTTTCTTGGTATTTTCTTTTTGGTTAGTTTTGTTTCCTTAATTGCAGATCAGCGGGGGTGGTGATTGG